TTTTTAGTTAAAGTAAAAATAAAAATATATTTTTCTAAATCATTTTAATACCTTCAAGAAATTTAACTCTCATTTTAATATATCCTTTAAAAGGTTTCAATTTCAAAATTTTTTACTACCTTCTTGTTTTTAATTTTTATCTTTTTAAAAATATTTTCTCTTCAAAACTACGTTGCCTTGTATCAAGGTTATGTAGGAGTGGAAATTAAAGGTTGTCAAATCTAATTATTTTCTCTCTATTTTATCTTTAATAAATAAAGTATTAAAATTTAGAAATGAAATAAAACTTCAATTTTTTTATAATGTAGGGTAACCATTTTTACAGACATTATGTAATGCTAATACCTTTCTCACATTCGAGTAGACATTTAAACTTGAATATGATTAATCCAACTTTTTCTAAATTTTTTAGGTCTTTCTAAAAATCCTAGTAAACACTCCTATAATATCTGCTTTTCCTGTTCTTACCATCTGATTCACTATTTCCATTTTTTCTCATCACAGCCCTGGTTGCGACAATAATCATAATTTTGTGAGAGAAGAAAAAATAGAGTTGAATATTCATTGAGAAAAAAAAAATAGAAGAGAGGAAGAACTCAAAATACATAACAAATATAAGAAGGAAAAGATAAAAACAAAAACATATACATGAACACAACTATTCTCATTTTAAAAAAAAAACAAAGGAAATATTTTAAGAAAAATCAACAAGAACACAAAATTGGAGAATCAAAGAGAGAATAGAAAGCTACAAACAAGGTCAACAAGTTCAAAATTTTAGTTTGATATGAACCTTTGTCATCACATAGAAGTAAAATTAGGAAACTAAAAACAAGTTGTGCATTTTATGATCATTGAATGTGTTACATGCATAATAGATTAATTATTTTACTATTTCTAGCCTAAGAACATTCACACATACAATGTGAGGGACAAATTGCTCACAATACTACTAACTGAATTCCAACATGGTTCTAGTAATACAATAAAAAATCTTTCATATAAAAATGGAAATAGAAAAAGGTAAGGATGGTTTCCATCACTTTCGATCATCAAATAGTTGTAACTCAACCACCTTGTAAAGTCCTAAAATAGACAAAATTAGATTAAAGATATCTTTATCTTCTATTGTTATCATTATCAAAACAAGTGTGAGATTCTCAAATCGTTTATCAAACCTTCCCCTTCTCCCTTATATTCACAAAAAGTTTTAAGAAGGGAGATTTGACCCTCTTTTGGGACAACTTATGAGATGATTTCTCTCTCTTTCTTCTCTAGTTTTGTTTGGAGTTTATTTAGTCAATTTACTTAACAACTTAATAAAATAAAATAAAATATTAAAAATAATTATAAAGTATAAATTATATGTAGTAACAGGTTGAACTTCTTTATCCAACTCATCACTTAACAGAACTTAGTTGATAATAAGGACCAATTTTTAATAAGTTCAAAATATTAGAAATTAAATCCTAACAAAATTTTTATAGGAATTAAATTCAAAAAGTATAACTTTTTTAAGGACCAAAAATTGTATTAAACCTTTGGCCCTGACTACCATGAGTTAGCAATGCAAGTTGGACATGGATGAATTAGATATTTAATCAATGATAACAAGCTAATGAAAATATTTAGTTTTGCTTTCGACTCTTCAAAATATTTTGAACTATCTAAAGGTAAGATCCCTTTAAACAAAACATTTTACCTTCACTTAACAATAATGGAGCAGAGTTTTGTTCTTATGCGATGGTGGTGTTCGTATTTTGATTTTGGTTGCAGATGGATACGACAATGATGGCATGACGTTGGTTTTTATGGATTTTGCTTTTGGATGGTTGTCGACGATAGAGCATAGTGACATGGTTGTCGACGATATTGCAAATAGAAGAACGAAATGTGGCATGATGATGTGGTGGAAAGTGTTCTATTTTGGGGTGGGAGAGGCCTGTAATAATGATGTCAAACAATCTTGATGTGAAGATAATTATAGCCGTTGGCAATGACATCTTGATAAAGGATTATGCGACCAGTTTGCAGAGAGTCTACGAAGAAAATCTAAAATAACATTGAATAATAATATATTAATATAAAAATTAATTTTTATGATAAATTGAGAATATGAAAGTGAATGTAAAAATTTTAATTTTAAAAATCATAAACTGCCTATGTAAGGGTTTGGATAAAACCTTAAAGATTTATAAAGATCTCTAAAATAACATTCAATGTTTTATTAGTTCAAAACTTGTTTTTTTATTATAAATTGAAACTATATTATAATATGTAAAAAATTTTATTCTTAAAATTAATACTTAGATATGAGATACATATAAAATTTGTATGAAAAAAATAAAAAAAATACCTATCAATACAATTCTATAAAAATCTAAAATAATAAGTTTTAAAAGTTTAAAAATAATTTTATATTTTTATAGAAAATTAAATCATAAATATATAAAAATTGATATTATTAAATAAAAATAAAAGATATAAAGGGTTAATTTTTTATTTTTAAAATATATCTAACAGCTTAACATGCTAACTCATTTATATGCTATTTAATTGTTCATGTCTAAAACTTTATTTATAAAATTTTATTTCTTTTCTTTTTCCTGAACACCCGATCTTAAAAAAAAGTGCTAAATGTAAAATATAATTATAGCTAATAATTAAAGTTTTATTTAATATTTTAAAAAAATAGTTTAATAGTAATATTCAATTTTTAAAATAATAAAAAGTTTCAAAACAGAAGTAAAATTAAATGAATAAAGAAATATAATAAAAGTTTTTCATTCTATTAGAATTTAATTTTGATGTATAAGTTAAAGTTTTTACATTAATAACCGATTTAAACTAATCAACCTTTAAAAGTATGGACTCCTTAATAAAAATATTTTTAGGGTCCTTTTTAAACAAGAACACTTTTAGGAGTTAGTTTTTTTTTTCTTATGTCAAGTAATTTTTATATTTTAAATATTTATTTTATTTTAATAAAATAAAATTTATAATTTTTATAATTTTTAAAATTTATCTATTATTATTTTTTATTTAACATAGTAAAATTTTTATAATTAATAATTATAATATTTAATTCATTTTAAACTTGTAAAATTCTTGAATTTTAACTTAATATATTTTTAATTATTTTTATTTAAAAATTCCTAATTATTATAGAAAACAATCATTGTTTTATGACAAATTGTGGTTATATAACAGTATTTTTTTTTTCATTTTCAATTATATAGTTTTTATATAATAGAGGTATTTTTTTAATAAATCCTACATTTGAATGATTAAAATTAAAAAATTATAAATCTCAATTTTAAAGGTTGAAAATAAACAACTAATAACAATAAAATTTTATTAAAAAATATTTATTATACTTTTAAAACGTTAATATGATAATATGTACTTTTTTTTTATAAAAATTTTCAATTTATAAATGCTTAAACTTAAGCTTAAAGATTGAGCTAACAAAACTTTTAAAATTAACTCTAAAAGTTTGATATTAATAGTTTTATTTAAAATAAAAAATTGAAAAAATTTATTTATATTAATAATATCTTAAAAAAACTTATACACCATAGAAAAATAAGACTAATAAATAAAAAAAGGTAAAATAGTTATAAATAAACTAATTTTAACTATAGAAAATTCATAAAAATTAAATAAATAAAAAGAAATAAACATAGTAGTTACGTAAATCAAATTTAAATTTCTTATATTTAAATAAAATAATTAAAATTACAAATAAAAAGGAAAATCATGTTAATCCAGCAGTTATTATACTTCATAACTATTTATAAATATTAAATTTTATTGATTCAAAAATTAAATAATATAATATTAACATATTATTATGCATACTAATTTTTTGATGAATTAGATGTCTGTAATAATCTAATATTAAAGTCAATATTCATTTATATTTTGAAAATATATGCATTAAAATAAAATTATTCATGTGATTTAGTTTTTTATTTACATGATTTTTTGTATGCTTAATTTATTTTAAAAAATTCAATTCATAAGATAATTTTATTTTAACATTTAATATACATTTTTTAAACATAAGTAAATGTTGATTAAAATATTACATATTTATAAATATCTAATTTATTTAAAATTTGTTATGTTTGTTAAACATGAATATATAATTTTTATGCCATGATTGAAGCGATAAAATTCAGTATTTGTAAAGAGTCATGTTAATTGATAAAGTATATATATATAAAAGAATTCAAATTTATTTTACTAGTTTATACGCACCTAAATTTAGAATAATAATAATAATAAGAACAAATAAAAGAACAGCTGAGCAGAAAATACAAAACTAGCACGGCAAAAAGAATATATACATGCAAACTTGGACACATGGCAACGACCTGAAAGTTTAATAAAAGCACCAAAGTGTTTTTCATAAAGAGTGAAAAGATTAGTTTATACATATATTTAATTTAATGTAAAGTGTATATTTAAAATTATTTTAAACATTTTAAATTATATTTACTAGTTTAAAATTAATTGTATCTAACTTTACAATATAGTTTGAATGTCGTTGTATCATTATTGTTATTATATAGTTTTCAATCAACCTAAAGGCTCCATTACTTTGAATAAGCTTGCTTCATCAGGGAAACAGGCTTGTCATTACAACCTTTCTTCACCACATTTTGCACAAAGCACACCACAAAATTAACAATCAATTTAAGTTTTTAGGAGAAAAAAAAACAAAAATTTAAAATTTCAATACAAATTCGGCCGTTTGAGAGATTTTGACTAAATTAATGCATCTACAGGAGAGAAAAGGAATCTGACCCACTTTTCCCCCAAATAAAAACAAAGGGGCCACAAAAATAGAAGAACATACAGCTTCACTTTCAAAATTTGAAATTTCAAAAACCTCTCTCTTCTCACCTTATTCAAAATAAATAAATTCACAGCTCACTCATTTCTTTCAAAATCCAACCGTTGCAACAAAAAGACACCAACTTTTCTATAAAATAGAACCCCATCTTTACCCTTCTCACCCCTCTCGTCCCCACCATAAAAACACAAACCCTCTCTTTCAAAACCCAATTTCCCTCTTTTCTTTCTTCTTCATTTCCAATCAAAATGCGTGAGATCCTTCACATTCAGGGTGGCCAATGTGGCAACCAGATCGGTGCCAAGTTCTGGGAAGTGGTGTGTGCCGAACACGGCATAGACCCCACCGGAAGATACGATGGTGACTCAGATCTTCAGCTGGAAAGGATCAATGTTTACTATAACGAAGCAAGTTGTGGTCGTTTTGTGCCCCGCGCAGTTCTTATGGACCTTGAGCCCGGTACTATGGATAGTGTCCGGTCTGGACCGTACGGTCAGATTTTTAGACCGGACAACTTCGTTTTCGGTCAGTCCGGTGCTGGGAACAACTGGGCTAAGGGTCATTACACTGAAGGTGCTGAACTCATTGATTCTGTGCTTGATGTTGTTCGCAAGGAAGCTGAGAACTGCGATTGCTTGCAGGGTACGTGGGTTTTCTTGTTTTGTGGTTTTTATAAATTAAAGGTTTAACCTTTTGGTGTTTTGCTTTTGGTTTTGAATTGGGTGTGTGTTGATTTTTGAAACAACGAAAGTTAAAAGTTTGAGTGTTTGTTTAAGTGTTCAGTGGGCGTTGAAGCGAGGGTTAAAGGTGGGAACTTTATTGGGTTTTATGGCTGATTTTGAATGGGTATGCTGGGAAATGTATTTTTGAGCAGCTTTGTGGGTCATTTTGGATTTGCATGTGTTTTCTAGCAATGAAAGGTGGGAGCTTTTCTTGTGTTTCGTGATGGTTTTGAGTTTAAGTGTGTTGTGAAAGGTAAAGCTTGGGCCTGGAAATTGGGGTTTTAGATGTGTTTTGCAGGGTTTGTTGGATGGCCAGATATTGAAATGGTATGCGAGAAAGGTGAAAACTTGGGTGTGCTTTGGGGTTGATTTTGAAATTACGAAGCGTGTTTAGTTTTGTTTTCGTTTTTTGCGCAGGTTTTCAAGTGTGCCATTCTCTTGGTGGAGGAACTGGGTCTGGAATGGGTACCCTGTTGATTTCTAAGATCAGGGAAGAATACCCAGATAGAATGATGCTTACTTTCTCGGTTTTCCCATCTCCCAAGGTTTCTGACACTGTGGTGGAACCCTACAATGCTACTCTATCCGTTCACCAACTTGTTGAAAATGCAGATGAGTGCATGGTGCTTGACAATGAAGCCTTGTATGACATTTGCTTCCGCACCCTCAAACTCACCACCCCAAGCTGTAAGCTTTTATGCATCCCAAGTTTCCGCTATAGACTTTTCTAATTTATGCAATGAATGTTCAATGGTTCAACAAAGATTTTGACTATCTTGTGTTTCATCCTGTTGCAGTTGGTGACCTGAACCACTTGATATCAGCAACCATGTCTGGTGTCACATGTTGTTTGAGGTTCCCCGGTCAATTGAACTCTGATCTGAGGAAGCTTGCAGTGAATCTCATTCCCTTCCCTCGCCTTCACTTTTTCATGGTTGGGTTTGCCCCTTTGACCTCAAGGGGTTCTCAGCAGTACAGGGCTCTGAGTGTTCCTGAGCTCACCCAGCAAATGTGGGATGCCAAAAACATGATGTGCGCTGCTGACCCTCGCCATGGCCGATACCTCACTGCCTCAGCTATGTTCCGAGGCAAGATGAGCACCAAGGAGGTTGATGAACAAATGATCAATGTCCAGAACAAGAACTCCTCCTACTTTGTGGAATGGATTCCAAACAACGTGAAATCGACTGTTTGTGACATTCCCCCGACAGGCTTGAAGATGGCCTCAACATTCATTGGAAACTCCACATCCATTCAAGAAATGTTCCGGAGGGTGAGTGAGCAGTTCACAGCTATGTTCAGGAGGAAGGCTTTCTTGCATTGGTACACTGGTGAAGGCATGGATGAGATGGAGTTCACTGAGGCCGAAAGCAACATGAATGATCTTGTTTCAGAGTATCAGCAGTACCAAGATGCCACTGCGGATGAGGAAGAGTATGAGGAGGAAGATGATGAGTATGAGCAAAATGAAATCTGATTCTGAAACTTGGGGCATTGTGCATTGCGGTGGTGTTAGATGAACAATGGGAAAACCGCAACTTCCTGTTGCCGGTTCATTTGTCTCTTTTTTGGGGGGATAGTTCTGTTCCGGCTAGCACTAGTTGTTGAAGTTATATTGCTGTTCTATAAATTTGGTTCTGTTTTTTATGTTTTCTATGTAAACCTGTTGGTAGGAAAGACTAAACAACTGCTATTATTATTTAAAGCGCAAATGTTTCATCCAAATGGTTGCAGCTAGTTTTGATTAGTGCTTTTTAAACGGTTAGCTCTATTTATGCATCGTATAAATGACAGAATGCCGAATGAAGCTGAAGAAATTTTTTTTTTCAATGTTCCAAAGAGTTTCCAGAAAAGTGAGTTTGTAGGGCAAAATATTCTTGCGTGTTTGAAAGAAAAATTGAATCGACGTCCAATTAAAATGAGCTTATCTAAACTGTCCGTGAGTCAAATTTAATGTTGCGCAGGTTTGAATTTCCTGACAGGGAAACCACTTCTCATTTAAAAGCACTCTTGGTGCATTTAGCAAATGAACTTTTTGTATGTACACGTTACATTGTCTAAAATTGAAATATATTTCTGCTAATGCACTACTAAGGGGGCTAAAGAAAAAATCCCTTCCCAAAATGTTAATTTATAAACGCCAAAAGGTTTTGCAATTCCCATAGATTTTGCAATTTTTTCTCCTTTGTACTTGGCTCTACTGTAACAATTAATATAATATATAGTAAATATCTTTCAGTAACATCAATTCATTAATAACGTCAATTTGGGCATGTTTCAGAAAAAGTAAGCAACCTTTAACAAATTTGGATATCAATCTCATTTGATAAACAACAGTAGACAATGTCTGAAAAACAAAAGACATATAGTAGTTCTTTGCCAGACTACAAATAGAATAGAAAACCTAAATACAAGACGAACTAAATTTACAAACACAAGCTTCAAACCTGTTCCCCTCATGAAGATCTACTTCTTACCATCTTCGATGGTCTTATCTACAACAATTTTGACTTTCCTATACTCAACATCTACAGGTTGCTTAACAGACTCTTCTGGCACCACTGCACCTCTATTACCAAATATGGTCCACAAATAAAGAACAATAAATGCTGTCAGTGCTCCACATCCAGTACCAAATATCATTGCAGCAAGAACTCTTAAAAAGCAATCACTCCTTGGCTTAACCACAGGAGTTTCAGTGTTTTTAACAAAAACCTTAGGATCCAAAGGCTCTGAATGCATTGAATGAGGAAAATGCCCAAGAACAAAGCTCCATGAATGGAGAAAGCATGCTTGAGAACCTTTCCCCTTCACAGAACTAAAACCCACAAACATCTCTTTCTCTTTCAATTCATTTGACAAGTCAATCAAGTGCCATAACAATGGATCAGAAGGTTTTGAATAACCATGGTGACTCAATCTGACTTCTAAGCGTCTTGAACTTGCTTCATAATCAATCCAAGCATGCAATTTTTCTCCACTTTTTAGAGCCAAATTGATAGAGTAGGTGTTACTTACATTAGCTTTACCCACATTCATGGCCACATTATAATCAGTAGAAACCTCATTTTTACCACCCTTTGAAGCACTAAACACAACACCAATAACTTCAAATTTTCTACTATTCAATTCAAAAGGATACCCAGAAGAACTTTGATAAAAAACATCACCTTCAGAACCCTTTGGAATCATTACAAAAGCCAAACCACCCCCATTATCCAAGGACATTGAAAATGCAAAGTAAGTGGAAAAGGATAGTAATTCCCTTGGTTTACCTTGAACAAGCTTGATGGGTTTCTTGTATAAGACTTTTCTAGCGTTTGAACTTCCACCAGAACCAGAGAAATGAATCCCAGACCCAACATTGACAACCTTTGCATTACCATAAAGGGCTACATTGGGCTTAAATTTTGGATCTTTTCCAAAATCAGCAAAAGAAAACAAGGGAATTGGGTCAAAAGCAAGGGTTTTGAGGACTAAAATGGTGAAAGTTAAGGCCTTGAAGTAATGGGTAGTGGCAAATGCTGCCATAATTGAAGTGGGTGGTTTGAAAGGAATCTTGCTGAGTCTGTGATTCTAGGGTTGGTAGGTTGATCCCATTTGCATCAAAAGGTAGAATCTGTGATTTTGGGGTCTGAGGGAAGAAAGCAGAAGAAGAAAGTGAAGAGCATTGGGGAAGATGAGGTTTGGAGGTTGTGAAAATTTAGTACATTTTACTAGATTCTGCAACTTGTTGGTTCACTTTTTCTCTGTGCCACATGACCAAGGGAATATGATAAAGCCAGATTTTATTTTGCACTTTGAGCCTTTCCTTTTGCGATATTCTTCCCGTGAACTCTCAACCTTAGATAAATTTATGAATCACAATTCTAATTTTGTTTTGTTTTGTTTTTTTTTTCTTCTCTAAATTTTTGGGGTCATTGTGGTCCACGTCATTAATTGCGAACGAGCCTTTTTCTTATTTTAAGAAAGATCTCAATTGAGAATTATCTTTTAATTTATGCTCCTGTGGTATTATAAGGTCTGAAAACCTTCCTTTTCCTAACTGGCTAATGTATGTAACATTATAACTATATTTAGTTATTTAACTTCTCATTCAATAATGTAATACACCGGTGAGTCCCGACGCATTAAAATAATTGGTTTAAGTAGGTATATTTTATATTTCTTAAGGAATATTTTAAGTTTAATTTTTTTGTATAAAAAATTTTATTAAGTGAACTAATCTAACTGTATTACAAATATTTTTAATTTAAATAGAAGTGATAAAACAAATACAGGCTAGAGTTTTTTCTATTGCTTCAAGATTTATTATTTTTTTTAAGAAAAAGAAAAGAAGGTTATGTGACTCCGCTAAGGTTTCATAACAAAGTAAGTATTTTCATAGTTTGATATTTTTCTCAATGAGTTAGAAGAGTGTTTCTACCTTAAAAACGCTTTTTGTTAAAGTGGATCGTAAAAAGGTGGAGCAATATGAAGTAGAGAAATGCTCAACTGAACTAGATTTAATGAATTGAAAGGAAAAAAAAAAGGTTAAGGTAGATTCTAGATCAACCTAAATATGCTCATGCAAGAAGACATGCCTCAAGATATTCAGGATAATAAGGTGCTTTCTAACCCTATCTTTACTGCCTTTATATCATACCAAGATAAAATATTAGAATCTAAGGATTTAGATTTTGGTAATGATGAAATCATTAAGTCAATTTTGGAGAATTTTAACATTTTACCTAAAATTGAGGAACTTGAAATATGCTTTAAAAATAAATTCTGCCTAGAACTAAAAATTCTATTAGAGAAATATGAATCATGGTGTTCTCCATGGAAATTGAATTTAATAGTTAAACTACTAGAGAAGTCAATTAGTTTTAATTACTTTAATAAAAAATTAAGAAATATTTGGAGAAAAAATGGACCTCTTAAAATTGTAGATATTAACAATGACTTTTTTTTTTTATTTTGATGAAAATTGATAACATAGAAAACTATAAGCATGCTTTGTTTAAAGGACCATGACTCATTCTTGACCATTACTTACTTGTTCAAATGTAGAGGCCTCTATTTAAGTTTAAAGACCATAACCTTAGGAAAATAGTTGTTTAGGTGCATATCCTTGATCTACCCTTACAGTTATATAATGAGAAGTTCCTATGACAAGTAGATGCTTGCATGGGTTCTATGTTGAAAATTGATTCCTATACTTCATAACTACCTAGAGGCAAATTTTTCATATTATGTGTTAAACTAAATTTAAGAAAGAAACTTATTCCATCTTTTAAAGTCCTAGGTCAAGAATTTAAAGTAGAATACAAGGGATTGCATGTTATTTGTTTTGCTTAAGTGAGATATGGTCATATATAGGAACCGTGTATAGATGCCCTTAAACCTAGTTAAGATAACAAAGAACCTACCTCTGGTCCTAATTCTTCTTTTCTTGATAAGGGAGAAGAGTTTGTCTCTCAACCTAGTCCATGTAGGGTAAGGGACCATATAAAGCAAGAGGGTTACACTTTGGAGGAGCAAGAAAAATTTGGTCCCTCGATGTTGGCGAAAAAACATGTAAGAAAGAAATTAGAACAATCTCACTTAACATGTAATCCAAACCTTAATGGGAAAGGTAGGAAATGTAACACCTTAAGTTTTATTTTAAATTAAATAATAACTTCGCAAATCGGATAACCAAATTTTTATAAAAGATTTCAAAATAAGTGAAAGGTTACAAGTTAATATCAAATAACTGCTACAGGACTAGTTCAATTACAACGTTTTCAAAATAAAATATAAGTCCTATAGCAGTTCATCCATCCCTTCACTGAACCCGGTGCTGATTGTCTTGATTACCTGAAAAATGAATGTAAGGGTGAGTACTCTACACTACCCAAAAACACCCAATAAACGTAGAGTCTCACCTCCAGAACATTTCCAATACATCAAACAAATACAATCACAAGCAGCATTTCACATCCATAAGTATAATTCATAAACTCATGCATATGCATGTCAGCCACATTCATTGCAGCACTGTGATCACAGATTTATACCATGAATGGTCGCCGGTTACCCCCGCCTCACGGATACCACGTGGACAGTCACGGGTCGCTCAACAAAGATAGTGATAAGAGGTCTAGTCAGGAAGAGAGTGTGTGGCCCGTGGTGCACCCGTTTCACAGTCGGTGTCACCACCACTCCTTCTTTCTCAAGGTATTTCTACCGTCCTCATCTCCCATATCCCAAGTGTATCGCTGAACCATTCATAGCTTATTACAACGGCGCTACTACGCCCCAGTCACACACATTTCAGTATACGGCACATAGCCAACATTTAACAGTACACGACATTAAGCCCATATTTGTTCAACTATATGGCACTAGGCCCACATTTCATTTTCACAGCACACACAACACATAGCCCACAATTCATTCAAGACACGCGGCTCCTAGCCTATTTCAATTATATTACACAGCTCTCGGGCCCACATTTTACAATGTTCATTCATATATACATACATGTATAAATGGCACAAGTGCCCACATCACATATCGCAGCAATTTCCTACCTTCTACTCAGCCACATCATAATATCATACAAAATATCAACAAATCACATATAAAGGAGTAGGATAGAGTCTCCTCTTACCTTAGATTGAAGGCTCACGTCCGAACTCAACCACGGAAATGCTCCCCACACAGCTTTCGGCCTAAACACATGGAAGAATTCCATGAGAACCCCAAAAATCATCAAGAAAAGAGAAAGGGAAGGAAAACGAAAACCCTAACTGTTTAAAACTCACCTACAAGCGTTCCCCACACAAATCCGAGCTCCAATCTCGCTCCCGAACGACTTTGGAGGCAATTAATCGGTGGAATAGGGCTTTGGGAATGAGAGGATCGAAGGGAGAGGGAGAAATAACTCCCCCTGAATCCTAACTCCCTTTAAATCCTTTTTTAGTCGCGACACTCTCGCTACAGCGAGCCTCACTGCAGCAACATGCCTTCTCGCTACAACGAAAAAACCAGAGAAAACTGCACTCTGGTTTCTGCAGAATCTCGCTATAGCGAGACTGCACCCAAAAATGCAATCCAAACTGTCGCTTTCTCGCTACAACGAGAAGGTGACAGTTTCAATCCTTTCTCCCAGGGCCCTCTCGCTACAGCGAAAACAACTCAGAATTACATCCTGCACTTAGACACTTAGCCTATTTTCAGCCTATCCAGTCACGCATACACATATATATACACATCCACAACATATATCTAAAATACACACATATAAATATATATTTAGGTTATATAAATAATAATAATTAATGTTACAAAATTTAGAGCGTTACAGGAAATATCTCTCAAGATCTAGGTTTAATATCTTAGGCAACTTTGTTCATGAAATGACCTAAGACATGGTCCGTGACTATAGTACCCCAATAGGCACCCATAATAGGGATTGTGAAAATAGTATGACTTAGAATGAGTCAATCACACCTAAGAGTCTCAGCAAAAATGATGTTCAACTTTGAAAAAATTATTTAGGGATTAAATTGGTCCTGCAAAAGGTTCTGTACTCTAACTTATCTTATTTGAATGTGATTTTAAGAAAGTTTTATCTTTGGTTTTGAATTTCAAAATTGTTCTCACCCCTATTTTTCTTGATTTATAATATTAGAAATTTGTTGAAACAAATTCAATTTGTTAGATTTGGTCTTATTTTTAGAGAAGTCAATTAGTGTATTGATAAGTTGGCCAAAATAGATTTAGAAGATTGTGTACCTTATGCTTGTAATGATAAGCCCTTTCCTCCTTTGTACTTTTTATTATGTCTAGATGTTGTCATTTGGATCCCTAAAGCTGCTTCTTAATTGTAATATTCTTTGGCTTTTATCCCCTTTAAATAGAAAATAATAATAATAATAATAATAATAATAATAATACGAGATATCAATCCATTCAAGCTAACTCATCGCAAGCAATAGACTATAGTTGGTTAGGTCAAAAAGGAGTTTTTTCACCGTGCAGAAAGAAATATTGAAAAAAATATGATAATTATGAAATAATTTACTGGATTGATGGACAAAATGTATAGTATTTTTCTATAAAACTTAATTTGAAGAGGTGCCAATGTATAGGGAGATGACAAGTGACCCTTATTAAGATTAATTATGAACTCTTAAAGGAGACCTAATTGTACTTTAAGAGGAGACGGTTACCCACTATCAGTACATGAAAAAAGCTATTAACAAGGTGATGTGTTATAAGAAGTTTTATAATTATGAATTACTTGTACAATATTTGTTTTCGATTTTTTTTTCATTGTAGTTATTATGTAATAAGTTGACATGTTATAAATAAGTTTTATAATTATAAACTACTTGTATATTATTTGTTTTTTATTCTTTTTCATTGTAGTTATTATGTCATCATGTATCTATGTGACTCATCCCTATTTATATTTACTATTTTTAGATATTATTAGGTATCAAAGTTGCATGTTACTGAAAACATCACTTCATTCAAGTAGAATATCTTTTAATAAGGCTGTTAATTTAGTGGCTTTATTATTATTATTTTTTGGTTAAGTTTAGATTTTTACAACTATTAATGAGTTAGATTTTTAATTTAGTTATAAAATAAATATTTTAGTATTGATTTTATGAAAATTTTAAATGTCATTAGTTGTGGTTAATTATGAATTGATTTTGAAATATTATATTTTGAAATGATAAAAATATAGAAAAAATTTTGTTAAAAAATTGAAAAATTTATCATATTTTTATTTTATGTTTATTTCTTAATAGAATTATCAAGTTAAGAGATATTTTTAACTAACTTAATTTGTTACGAGTCAAATTTTTGGGTTGTGACACTAACACAAAGGTTTACTTATTATTATAATATTATTTTTGTCAAAAGAAAATGAAATTATACGTAATTATTTATCTGGAAATGTGAAAAAAATTGAGGTCGAACATGCCAAATGCAACCAAAAGAGTTGATATTGTTGAGTGATTCCAAGCATTTTGCTGAGAAGGGTTCATATTGGTATGTATTATATTATGTCCACTCCCCGAGACACCTCGTTTTGCATTAAAGGAGAGAAAGTGGGGTTGAGTTGTGTTAGTGCGTCGTGCCCACGTTGGCATTGGCCATTGGCCAACCTCACACTTCAAACTAATCTCCTCGTGATTTCTTGTCTTGTTCCTTAACCCAATATATATTAGTTACCGTGACATTTTCATTCACCTACAGCTTGTCATTCTTCAAGGGTTTGGTGGATGATTTTTATTTTATTTCTCAACATAAAAAAATACCATCTAAAATTTTATTCGTATGATTAATCATGCATGTTTGTTTTTTAATGTTTTTTGGTTTATAGGTGAGGTGGCGTGTGAACAATAGACAATACAGTTCAGAGGAATTGTTTTCATTATATCAATTATGTGTTATTGTACATGTGTTACGAAATTATTTTGTTTTCGTAACACAGGAATTTTAAGATAACGAGAGAATGTGTGAATATATGATATTGCAAAAAATGGTATCCTAATAACAAATTTAAATTAAACTCTTGACACTACACATAAGGGTTAAAATTAAAAACATTAAACTTATTTCCATAACCATTTATCCAAAAGAGTAAAGAGATTATTTGACTTTGTTTTCTCCCTGTCTTCATGTATTTCCCATTTGCTCTCAATCGATCAAGGTGTTGCTCTTGACACATGATTGCATCAAATGTCAAATGAAACAATGAGCACATATGGGGTTTGAGGTAGGGCCAGGACTATGTGTGTTGAAGCATTATTGTCAATAATTATATTTAAACAATTATATTATAGCGTACCGAATAATTTGAATTACAATTTAATCGAAATTGGTGTGATTGGTGAACTGGATGGAGTCTTACCTAACCTACTGATAACATTCAATGTTCCTTTGGTAGAGGAAAAAATACCATTTATTTGCAGAAAGATTTTTTTAATGTGTGTGTGTTATAGGTATGATAATGTCACTTTTAAGTAAAGGATGTTATATGTGTTTTTTTTTTAGAAGGTAAGAAAATAATAATACTACTAATACTGTGTTTGAACAAATCAATATTACTATTTGATTAACTTTTTTCTTTCTGTGTGTTTTCAAGTCAATTCCAAATATTATTCGCACCCATATTGTTTTCTAGGTGTAGTAAGAGTTAATGATATTGGTTCAGTGTCATGTCTTATCGGTTAGCATGTTTATGTTAATGAAATTTATGGCCGACCTAAGTTAGTGACTTAGTGTGCACGTTGAACATTTTACATATCTCTCTGTCAAATATTTTCTTTCTTTACTTTCTTCGTACCCATAAAGAATAATCAGAAAAATGAGAAGTTAAAATCAACGAAGTGATGCTTTTTCTGGGGGCGTTGTGGAGAACTATAATAATAAAAAATTTCGACACTTCATAAGTTAACATCGTTAAGAAGTTAAGGAATCTGGATTAACAAGGCCACAAATGCAAATAAATAAGTAAGAGTTTAATTTTAATATAGTATTAGCACAAAAAAATTTACATTATCAACTAATTAAAATTAAGTGTAATATGGTTTTTAAAATAACTATTATAAAATTAATTATTTTTAATTGTGCCATAATATAAATTTAGTATATTTCACTTAAATTTAATAAATAGTAATACTGGACCACCCGCAATGATGATTTGAATGATAAATGTTCACTCTCACATGCATAGCCCATGTGGGTTGACGAAGAGAACAGGGATTCAAGAGAAGCTCTTTTTCACGACAAAAACAAAAATTGTTCTTTTATGGATTCAAGAAACCAAATACTATTTTAAATTTTTTTCCCATATTGATGTTAGCCTTGTGATTGAAATCCCTGTGAACAACCTGAACTGGTCCACGGAAAACACCTTGAAGATTTTATTGTTTTTCGGAGGGTTGGATTTTTTTTTCCCATACTTTTTTCCTTAAGTCCTTAGAATTTTTATACTGGACGAAAGACAAAAATAATGTAATTGCAACTATTAAGAGTACGTTTGTTTGCATACTGGAAGAAAGACAAAAAATTTTAATTTTAAAAAAAAGAAAACTCTTTTGAAATATACAAACAAACATACTTTAAATCTCATCTACATCAATTTCCTCTAATCAGTCAAATTATTTATCTGACATTCTCAATATTTCATTTTAAATGCCTCACAATCTTAAGTTTCAATCAATTGCTCACTTTGCAATGATAAAAATCGAGTGAGCAACCTAGGGTAACGTAGAAAGACTTTATTTGAGATACATGATTTAAATTCCTAAGGCACCTTGAGGTCAGGGTCACGGTCACGGTCATTAGATAATTGAGGGGGACTAATTAATTCAATTTTTTGGGTTTCTTAACTAATATTTATGATATTATAATTATATAAAAAAGGGACAAATGTAATTTAAATATTGCAACTACACTAATTAAGTAACCATATAAAACTTTTATTGAAAAACATTAGACTTAAATATGTTATTGGTCTCAATAAATATATATCATTTTGTGATAGATCCTATAAATATTTTTATTAAAATGTAATTCATGTAAAGTTAGAAATTTAGAATTTAATCGTTACTGTCAACTCCATTCCATTAAGTGTAGAGTTGGCAGATGGGAAGTCAATTCAGCACTGCCACATAACATGCCATATTATTTTTTAAATTATATTTTATTTTTAAAATAAATATTTTAAAAAAAAAAATCCTTGAACAAGTTTTACAAATTTGTAAAAAGGTCCATCTTCTTCTCCATTCCGTTAAGCCATCCCAACTCCCCCATGTTACACCCTTTTACTCAGAAACCATTTTATACTCATTACTCATCTTTCATTAACCATTTCTCTTTCTAGGTTGGTTTTATCTAAAATCTGTTGTTAGATCTTAACTTGCAAGAATAATATCAAAATGATGATTATTGACCGCACATTGGAATCATTTTAACCGAATATGCTACTATTGGCACAACGAGAAGAAATTGTGTGGTGAGAAGTTAGCTTCATATGAGATATTTTTTATATCTTCCTCAACTATTGTCCAAGTCATCTTTAGTTATAGGACAAAAGACAATAGATCCAACAAATGCCAAACAAGTAGATAACCTTATACTCTATGCCAAATTTATGGTTTCAACATAGCATATTGCATCGTTGTAATTGGATGAAAGAAGTAGAAAGTTTGCAAGGAAGAATTCATCCTTTATTATCTTCACTATATGTCTCACCTTTAGATTCTTGCACTCGGTATATTCAAAAGTCCCATGCCCTTTAATTATTCTATTGTTGACCTAAGTATCCTGCAGCAAAATATTGTGCTTCCTCCCTCACCATTTCCTATTCCCCATTAGAACCACCCCCTTCCCCCACATCCTTTTCTCACCAACACCAACACCCACACTCCCACCCCACCCCTTTACATTCTCTCATTCGCACCACTCCAACCTCCAACCCCCTCCCTCTCTCCCATTTGCACCACCCCCTCTCTCACCCACACCCTCACCCCTTTCCATTCCTCTCACTCACACCACCCTCTCCCCACCTTTTTCCATTCTCCTATCCCCACCACTCCGACCCTCAAACCCCTCCCCATCCGCACCACTCATTCATGCCTCTTTATTGCAGCTGTTGTGGATTTTATTTTACCTACAAATTATTTTGTAACTCACAATTATTTTGGAGTAAAGGGAGAGGGAAAGAATAGGTTAAAGGGAAGGGCACAGGAATGGAGCTAGGAGGGAGGTAAGAATTTAGAGAAGGTACAAAAATGAAGATAAAAAAGGGATGATAGTAGAAGGAATGCATCACAATGAGGTTGGAGGTTGTGTAAAGGAGAGGGAGAGGGGTAGGATAAAGGAGAATGTATAGAAATAGAGTTGAGAAGAAGGGGAAAAGAGTGTACAGCAGAAAGAAAAAGAAGAATGAACCTTTTTGTAAATTTATAAAACTTGTTCAAATTTTTTTTTAATATTTATTTTAAATAATAAAATATTATTTAAAAAATAACATGACATACCACATGACAATGTTAAGTTAAATTTTCGTCTGTCAGCTTAGTACTTAATAGAATAGAGTTGATAACAATGACTAAATTCTAAATTTCTAACTTTATAGGAACTATATCCTAATAAAAATATTTATAAAAATATATCACAAAACAACCTACATTTATAAAGAACAATAACATATTTAAGCTAAAGCATTATTAATATACTTTTACCATAATTTTTAATGCATTTCCATATAATTTTAATAAAAATTTATGTTATTAATTTCTTCACTAATGATCTAATGAAAGAACACTACTTTACAAGAACCTAAATAAAAAAGAACCCAGTAGCAAAAATAAAAAATAAAAAAGAACCCCCAAAAGGAGAGTAAGACATTCCATTCCAACTTCCGACGCTTTTTTTTAGACCTATTTTATGTTGTAAGAAACAAGAAACACAACCCAAAAAAGAAGGGAAATACGAAAGAAATGCTGGCTCTTTTCATCCCCACAAGCTCTCTATGGGATTTAGAATGGGATTACAGGTGGGAGTTGGGAAGACCACAGATTCTTCTTGTGTGGGCCTACAGCATAACCTGTTCCAACGAACAACTTCCTAGCATAGGCATATGAAACAACATCAGGTAGTGGTAAAATATCCAAGGATTTACCTAACAAAGGGCGAACAACAGCAAAAATTTATAGCATGAAAACTCATGAATTGGTCATGAAGGGTTAGGAAAACAAAGAAATCGAAGATCACCTCAGTGTTGTCATGGATATATCGGACAATGAAGCTGCACCTACACTCTGTTGGATCATGTATCCTCCTCTCGATTTTTACAACATGAGCATCACAATAGAGGGCATAATCTTCTCTTTCCTGTGAAAAATCAATAAAGGCAAATGAGTTCTTAGAGTTAAGAAATTTCTCAAGTAGCTAAAAGCCCAATAAATCAATGTCCATTTTGGTCATATGCATAGATTAAAAAGAAATAAGACTGGAATTCCAGGGGAAAACTAGCAAATCCAGTCAGTATTTCGGTGCATTCAATAGTAAAAAGCCAGTTCAGGTAGTTATCCAAAACTAGAGAAAACTGCTTGATTTTATTTTTGTGATTATTTTGGTTTTTATCCAACCAAAAATCTTTTTAGTCAAATAAGGAATCCATGTCAAGTTACAAAGATTCGCTTGAGGTCCACCCATCAATTGTTATTATCTAGCTTACTGTTACTGATATTTTTTCCAAGAAGACAAACGATTTAATTTTTTCTTATGATTTTACTTTATTTTATTACTTAATATATTCTATAATATTAAATGTGTTTAATTATCACTTGTTTAACTACAGTCAAACCAATGACTGCGGATCAGTACCTTCATAAGTTTGATGACCAATCCTGTTGGGAAATATTTCAATCATGTGGCTACATGACAAACACATTGTGTAGATAAATTGAAGTAGAATAAAAGTGCTGGGGATCCATTACCAGGAAACATAGTACATGATGTCCATCCTTCACCTTGTGACACTCGGAAGGTACTAAAGGAATGGATCTTTCCCGCACCCCCTCCATCACATTCACCCACTCATCCTGCTCTTTAGTAAATCCAGCATATCGTACACGGACTTCCTAAATTGTATGGAACAAGATCCATTAATTGGCTGTCCAAAATATCCAAAAAGTGCATCCACTAAGCCAGTACAGCTATTTCAAGATGGGGAGTATAACTTACAATGTCACAGGTATATGAATATAGTATCATAACCAGTTTTCTGACTCTTCCAGTCTTCCCACTTAAGGAAAATATCCCAAACAACATGCAATGCAACTATATACAAGATTTGGTTTTAAAGATCGTACTGGGAGATTATGTATTGATTAAAATCAATCTCAGCTTTCAAAATTCATTTTAATTAATAAGGAACAATTTTCTAAATCAATTTCTAATAAAACCCAAAAACAATAGAGGAATAGTATAAGCATGAAGGATCAAATCAATGTTTCACTGATAAAAACTGGGTATCTTAAGAAATTAGGGATGAACCCCAATTACAAGGATAGAACACAGTAGTACTTCGAGAGACTACTCCTCCCAAGCCAAAGGCCTTAACTCCCTCACAATTGACAAACTAATCTCGCTCTCTCTGCCTCCCTCATATTTATAGGAGCAATGTGTCTTATTTCTTCTACAAGCTCAACCTACTCAACCACTAACTAATTCAGGCTAACTAACTAATATAACTAACATATTATAACTAACTACTAATTGGTTTACCTATCAATATTTCTCCCCTAAAATTTCACCTTGTCCTCAAGGTTGAAATTAGAGAATTCAACTACCAAAGGCAGCTGCAAAGGAAGTTCCATTGGCGTTCCAGCTAATTGAAGCATGACGATCAAGCCAACTACACCCTATAGCCCAAAAAATAGCTTTCACCCCTCCTAGGTCAAAAACAAATCTATAATATAAGTACTACCATGCTCCCCTAGTGCTCTTGTTTCTTCCATATTTTTTGCCATGAAACAGAGCATCATCACTGCTGCAATAATTGAAATGAGATCCTCAAATTCCCTTGACTGCACTGTTGCGCATGATTGCAGATCATGACCTGTAATATGAGCAATGCATTTTTACACACGTTATATAATTTGTGATGGTATTTACCGATTTAGTGTAAGTTTTAATTTTTACAAAATTAATGTAAGTTGTATATAGTTTATACAACTTTTATTATAATTATATTTTTATTTGTTTTATTTATAATTTAATTATATTTTAATAAATTAAGTATTAAAATAATTAAATAGTCTTTTATTTTTATTTAGTTATAATATTCTTTTATTTAGAATGTATTAAATTAATCACCAATGAAGATAATAATAATACTAAAGAAAATGACAACAATGATGATAATATCATTCATGAATCTGAACCAACACCCTTTCCTCAAAGACGTCAAAGGACAATAACTAGAAATGATACCCTAGAAAGGAGAATTCAACCATAAAAAACTAGAATGAGGCATCATAGTAGAACATGACTATATCTTTGCAATGCTTAGTATAATAATATAAATTATTATTATAAATGAACTGGTCTTTTATGTACAATCATCTCATTCAATAACTAATTTTACCGAATTAACTCTGTCATTCTTTTAATAAGTAAAGCAATAACACTCATTATATATATAAAACAAATAAAAATTAAATGTATAATAAATAAATGTAATTATTTTAGTAATTAATTTATTAAAATATAATTAAATTATTATAACACTCATTATATCTTGCAACATTTATTATATACCACCTCTAGTTCTTGGCCTTTGGCCTCTTTTACAAAGATACATTGGTTTAAGCTTTTGGTCAATATTATCATAATTGTTGTCATCTTTTCTTTATTGATATCACTATCTCCATCAATACTAAATTTTAATACATTCTAAATAAAAAAATTTACAATTGAATAAAAATAAAAGACTTTTATTATTTTAACAATTAAATTATAAATAAAAACTAATTATATCATATATGACTTCTGTTATATATATAGGCTTAATTAAACATTTAGTCCCTATAAAAGTTATACAATTTGAAATTAGTACTGTTTCACAAACTATTATTTTTAATCTCTCTAGTTGATTTGATCTATTCAGATACAGTTGAGAGTTAGCTTTTAGTTGGAGCACATCAACTAAAGAAACTAAAAACAATAGTTCATGAAAAAAGTAAAAAAAATTAGAATTTATACAAATCAATAAATACTTTCACAAATTATATCATTTATGTAAAAAAAACCCACTTTTTTTCCCTGATGGCATGTGCTACTACTGCTTTTGACTGCTTCCAATTTTGCTGTTAACACCTTTTTGGCTTTGCCTCTCCCAATAAGCGTACATAAAGTCCCTTTTGGCAATTTTAGCAGGAACAGTGGGCTAACTGAACTATTTAAGACCTCCATGGCTATCATAGACAGATTGGGGTCTGATGGTGGGGTGAACTAACCAATCCACTCATAACCCTTTTTTAATAACTTGATTATAGTCATCCATCCCCTTGATTGCAAAACCCATATGATTCCCTGTTTGTTTCCTTTCTTCACATCCCATACGATTGTCTTCCTTCCAAGGTTGTTAAACTTGAGTTTACGTGAACTCGAATCGTAAACTTGTAAAAGTTTATCTCATGTAAAAATAATATTTAATGTATTGTAAGCTGTTACAAACCCATAATAATGAAATAAAGTTTAAATCATACTTAAATAATCAAATCATATAATGATAATGTATTTTGGTGCCAAAATTATAAAAGATGTTCCACAACTTGCTGAGAGGGAAGAAAAGCGGTGCTCTAATTCCAAATGGTGTCATTTTGGTAAAAGAAAATGTGATTATGCCTTTGTTTTGTTAAACTCATAAAATCGGGTATAAAGTTTATCTGAGTTTATCCAAAAACAAGTTTTCTGCTTTCTTGCATCAAAGAATCCTCATCTTTGACCCAAACTGGCTGACCTAGGTCATATTCAGGCTGAAATTGTTTGAGCATTGCCAGCACAAAATTCCACCATGTTGTATCTTGATTGCTTGCTTTCCAGCAACACGACCATGATAACTACACTTCTAGTACTCCTTTCTCCTCAAAATTCATTTTTACATGTGACAAGTTTTTCGTATGATTAAACTAAAATTGCCATCACAGTCGTCATTTTTACATGTGATACTGATAAGTACTTTCTTTTGTGCCCAAGAATCACACAGAAGAAAATCAAAAGGAGCTTCATATTAGACAAAAGTTGTTGAATGATAACATTTCAATCAAGGATGATATGAAAGTGATGTCAATCGTCAACAACGAAATTAAATCCAACGATTCCACTGAAGAACTCTAGAGCCATTTTTTTGCTTCTTTTACATATTTTGGTCTACCAATTGCTTAGAGTTATTTAATGCAGTTTATATATTTTTGTTAGAAAATTAAGCGCTAGCACAGGGTTTTTTTTTCTTGTTTTTTAGTTGAGAATTGGAACCTTTGTGGCTTGTTAGTTATTATATTTAATTTTTATTACTTAAACATTTTATAAGACTATCAGGCCTGTGCAAATAAACTATATGCCAAATCATGTTAAAATTATTAAAATTGTGCTAAATATTATTTTCAATTTCGACAACTATAGTTCCTTACTTCATTTAGGTAAACCCTCTCGCATCACACCTTTCCCAACTTATTTCTATTGCATAAAAAGTTCAGAGTTTTCCCCATGCCCCCCCCCCCCCCCCTGTTAAGAGAAACAAATAATTTATATATGCTATTGTACTATAAAATATCAAGATGTAGGAGGTCACTCAAACACAAAATGGGGTCGCACCAAGGGTCAGCTTTTAGCCCTTATCTCTTTACCTCTTAGACATCTTTACTGAGCATTTCCAAGAACTAGTACCATGATGCTTGTAAATGGTACAGTTCTAGTTGGAAAAATCAACAGCAGAAACAGATGGTATGTTTGAGATGCAGCGATGGACTTTCAAAGATCATGGCTTTCACTTAACTAGACAAAGTACATGAAATGCAAATTTTAACAAAGCACAACAACCCTAATATAGAGGTAAAACTTGTAAAGCATATGTTGCTACAACTTACATGGTTTAAAAATTATAAAAGAGATGGTAGACTCTTGGCATAGGTGGCTCTAACATGTGCGGATAGGACATGTAGAAGCCACCGCAAGGAGAGAAGATTAGATAGAGGGTAACCCAATATCAAGCAGCAAAGGAATACCAAGAAAAACTATAGGCAAAATAATTAAAAAGAATTTAGAAGTCAATGATTCACAACGAAATATTATATAGCATTGTTTGATTTATGTAAATCACACTACTCAGTGGGAAAATACTTTGTAGTTGTTGTTGTTGTATTATATTGTAACATGCAAACAAGAAAAAGAAGCTTAATAGTCAACCAATGTGCAGCACGTGCAACCATAAAGAAGCTGTTACAAACTGAATCCAACAGTGAAGAAATTAAGAAGAATAATGAAAAAGATGCGAGGAATATACTGAATTTGTATTCTTGAACGATTAAAATATCACTCGCTACTGCCCAGAGCCTTGCTCCTATAGAGAGCGATAGATCTCTATCCATAACTAAACAAAAGATATTCCTCGATGCCTTCTCACTACACCCGCCCCTCCTTATAAGCTAAGATGCATCACGTCATAACTAACTCTCGCTACTACCTTCTCTCTTTACTAGCTCATCACCCATTCCTTCCTTTCTCCTATTTCTCCTCCTCTAAACCCTCCAGATTGTGGGCCTCTTCTATGGTTGCTGGATCATAATTCCTTCCTGACTATTTTGGGTCGCAACACTGCCTCCCTCTTGAGTACCAACCTTGTCCTCAAGGCTAAAGCCTGGAAATTGATTATGAATAGTAACTTCATCCTTCCAAGTGGCTTTGTCATCTGACTATCCCTTCCAATAAATTAACATCAGAGATATTGTTTCCCCGCCTTTGATTGGCGGGAAGCTAACACAGCCCACAATTCCTGCACCACCATAGACTCACCATCCAAACTTGGTGGTAAATCTTGTTCAACCTTGTAATCACCCACAGCCTTCTTGAGTAATGAGACATGAAACACAGATAAGTTTTAGGAAGTTGCAACTTATAAGCTATAGCCCCAATTTGCTCCAACACTTTGAACAGACCATAATATCAAGCCGCAAGTTTGGCATTAATACAGGCAGGAACAAAAACTTGACGATGAGGGCACAGGTTGAGAAACACCCACTTCAAAACTTCTTTCCTTCCTTTTCTTATCAGCTTGATTCTTCATTCTATCTTGAACACGATGTAAATGGTGTTTAAGCTGTCTAAGAGCCTCATCTCTATCCAGCAACTTACGCTGTACAGTTTCTACATTTATTTCACTATGGACGAAACAAACTAACACTAGGGGCTTCCTCCCATAAACAGCTTCAAAGTCGTCTCGTGGAAATTGGTATTATACCAATATTCTGCCCAATGCAACCATTGGACCCAAGTCTTAGGCTGGTCCGCAACAAAACAACGCAGATAAGTTTCTAGACAACGTTCTACGACCTCTGTTTGGCCATCTGTCTCAGGATGGTAAGCATAACTCATCTTGAGTTGAGTACCTTGCAACTTAAAAATCTCTTGCCAAAAATTAGTAATGAAGATAGGGTCGTGATCGCTGACAATGGAAAGAGGAACACCAAGTTACCACTTCTTCCATAAACAACTTTGCCACAAACCTAGCAAAATAGGGATGCTTCAGGGGGACAACATAATCATACTTCGAGAGGCAATCCACCACAACAAAAATTGCATTATACCCACGTGATTTAAGCAATCCAATAATGAAGTCCATAGAAACCTCTTTCCAAATCTGCTCCAGAATGTTCAAAGGTTGTAAAAGACCATCGGGTTACATGACCATATACTTCTGTCACTAGCAAACATCACATTTTCGGACAAAATCATGGACTACCTTTGTCATCCCAAACCAGTATAGGTTGGCAACAAGCCTTCTGTATGTTTTATAAAAACTAGAATGCCCTCCTTGGGAAGAAGAATGAAATTCTTTTAACAATTTAGGGATCCAAGGAGATGTGGACAGTAGTACCAAATGACCATGATAGAGCAAAATCCCCTTTTCATAAGTGAACTCAGGTTTGCATGTATTATCCTTGTGCAAATTAGCAATAATTTTAGATAAAACAGTATCGATGCAAATTTCTTCCATGATTTGTTCCCTTTCTTCCCAAATAGGATAGAAAATGAGGGAACAAAAGTCACCTGTGTCATACATGCGAGACAGAGCATCAGCCACTTTGTTTTCCAACCCAGGCCTATAAACATGTTAAACTGATAACCAAGAAGCTTTGCTACCCAATTTTGTTAAGCCATAGTGGATACCCGTTGCTGCAACAGTTGACCCAAGCTCTTTTGATCCGTGAATACTGTAAACTGTCTTCCCAATAGGTAAGGATGCCAATGTTGAAAAGCCAACGCTATTGCCATCAGCTCTCTCATAGGCAGACTTAAACAGGTTGCGTTCACTTAAAGCCTTGCTGAAGAAAGCTATAAGACACTTGCCCTGTGTCAAGATCGACCCTATTCTTTGGCCCAATGCGTCACATTCAATGCTAAAAGGTTGAGAGAAATCTAGAAGAGCTAATACCAGTGTTGTTGTTAATTTCTGCTTTAATAGTTCAAAAGCAGCCAGGGCATTGGGGTTCCAATGGAAACCATCATTTTTGGTGAGCTCAGTTAAAGGCCTCGCTATCTTGCCATAGTTTTGAATAAACTTGTGATAATAACCAGTCAAACCCAAAAAACATCGAACTCCTTTAACATTTGTGAGTCAGGCCATTAGGGACGGGAATGGACCAAGCTGCCCATTGGGGGGCCTATGGCCAGGCCTATTTAAGACCTGACTTGACTTGCCTCATTTATTAAAAAGGTCAAGCTTAAGCTTTTGAAAAACCTATTTAAATAAAAAGGTCAGGCTTAAGATTTAAAAAAAACCATTTAAGCTTGTTGGGCCGGACCAATTAAATAATTATATTGTTTTATAATTTATATTTATTTGTAACAATTTAATATATATATATATATGATATGTAATTTATAACATAATTTAATATTTATATTATAATAATACAATAATTATAATTATATTATTAAAGTACCAAAATTAAAACTTACCGTAATAAAAAATTACCAATTATTGGGAAACTAATCTCCACCTTGTGCTGGTAAGGGTATCGATATGGCCTAACATTCACAAGTCCTTTTCCTTCACATAGATTGATAGCATGTTCTTTTTGCCTCTTAAGGGCAACCCTTTTAGATCATAGAATACGTCTTTATATTGATTAAGCAACCTCTCCAATGGTTGTAGTTGCTCTTTGTGCAAATTAGGAGCACCATCCTTTGTCTTTGATTGTCTATTAATTTGTAACTCTACTGCAAACAAACAGTCTTCTATCACCTTGATAATGCTTCTTGATTTGTAACCTCCCTTCCTCCAGCTTTCACTGTCACTCATTCATTATGTATTTGAAACGTCATGAACCTTTTCCCCCAATCTATTAGCATCTCACCCAATGAAGCCAACCATGATATCCCTAATACCACATCTATGCCTTTCAAATCAAAGAGCAAGACATCAATGGTGATAATTACCTCATCCAACTCAATCTGCACTCCTCTACACTTCCCCTGCGCACATGCTTTATAACCATATTCCAATTTAACACCCGTTGCTTTTGTGGGTTTAGTTGGACACCCCATAGTTGCCATTAGCTTCTTTGAAATAAAATTATGTGTGGTTCTACTGTCCACCAACACCACAATGGGTACTCCATGTACCGTACCCTGTAACTTCAGTGTTTGTGGTGCTAGCTTTCGACCTTCGAGATGCAACACGTCCTCATCTGAATCCTCTAAAAAACATCACTTTCAACTATTGATCTAGACACTGATGACGCGGATGATACTTGCCTCCACATTTGAAACACAACCCTTTTTGTTTGCGATCCAAAAGCTCTTGGTATGACAAATAGTGAATTCCCTTGTCTCTCGATGTAGTACGCGTCCCATTAGAAGAGTTCTCTGATCTCAACATTGGGCCTCATTGTTTGGGTGTGGTAACCCCTTTGCTATCCCCTATAAGGACCCATTCAGACCCACCACTGCCACCTAACACGTTTGGGCCTCCCGGGTTAGATGACCCAATTCAAGTTGACCTGAAATTCCCCTTTCCTCCAAATTGCCTCCCACCTGGTTGGAATCAGTTTTGCCCCTACATTTCATTTTCAATCGCCCTTGCCAGATTCATCAATCATAGGCGTGAGAGGGGGCCCATAGCTTGCATGCTTCGCACCCTCCCTCAAATAGCATCCCTCAAACCATGGTGAAATACCTAAAATATTGGTTATCTAGATGCTCCCTATTTGTCGAAGAGCCATAAACTACTCATAAACATCGCCATCTCCCACTCCTCCATAATGTTCAAGCAAATCGCTCTTAAGTTGCTCCCACATTAAATCAGGTTTGACAGCAATTAGAGAATTAAAGAAATGAATTGTGGATCCTTCCATGCACAACTGTGCCAAGTTCACTTGGATTTCAGGACTCATCTTCATCACATGAAAATAGACTTCTACACAAGATATCCATCCAGCCGAGCTGGGGCTTCGCCATCAAATGTGGGTAGCTCCACTTTCTTCACCGACTAGCAAAATTCATCAAGTGTGTCTCCCTGTAACCTTTTAGACCTTGACCTATCAGCCTTGATTGTTTTTCCCCTAGTGATTTCTCTAGGCTTTTTGTAAGTAATGCTACTACTCGTATCGCCTGGTTCTTTGTTTGTAAACGCACTGCCCCCATCGCTGATTTTCAATCCAACAATTTCTCCTTCAATCACCGTCATTCTACCCTCCATGATATCTACATTCTTTCCTTGCGTTCCCTTCTTAGGTGGCATTCACCCTCAGAGTTATCCGGCAGGTCAGACTAGTTTGTTACAAATTGAATCCAGAAGAAATTAAGAAGAATAATGAAAAAGATGTGAGGAATACTGAGTTAATATTATTGAACAATTAAAATATCAATGGGAGTACAATCGCTACTGCCTAGAGCCTTGCTCTGATAGAGAGCAGTAGCTATCTATCCATAACTAACCAAAAGATATTCCTCGATGCCTTCTCACTACATCCGCCCCTCCCTGTAAGGTAAGATGCATCACGTCATAACTAACTCTTGCTACTGCCTTCTCTCTCTATCAGCTCATCACTCATTCCTTCCTTTCTCCTATTTCTCCTCCTATAAACCCTCCAGATTGTGGGCCTCGTATATGGTTGCTGGATCATAATTCCTTCATGACTATTTTGGGCCACAACAAAAGCAATTATAACATCATGTCTTCAAATATATATATATATATATATATATATATATATATATATATATATATATATATATATATCAACTTGCTTATAGATAGTAACATCAAGCAAGCATTGCAGGCATGAACAAAACTACTACTCCTCACCTGATCACAAATTCTAAAGATAATGTATCAGTTACTTAACAATAAAAAATACAAACAAACAAAAACTCTTACAAGTTCGCCTGTGCTCATAACTCTGTGGTTAAGGAACATTGCAATATCATGCCTGTTATAGGGGGGAAAAATCAGATGTTGGACACAGTATATAACAAACTTACAATATAGACCTAGTGCTTATTGTGGAGGGGACATGGAATTTAGGGGTAGTTTTTTTCTTATTTGAATGAAACAAACAAAAATCAGACCACACCTTACAATCTTATATAATTCAAAATGTTAAACAATGCCACACACAGTGCATTTTATGGCTAAACACAGTGACAGCCTAATAGAAGATAATTCCTCACCATGCAAAGTCTTTTGAAGATCTTGCTTCAAATGCCAAATCTGAGAGATCTACATCTGGTTTAACTGACAATAAGATCAGAAATTCTAATTAAATTGTGAAATTTTCAAAGCCAAGTTGAACTCAGGACATGACTGTTAATCATCATTTAATAATTCTACATTGCTTGTCCTTGCATTCTATCACTTGCTGAAATTAACCCAAATCTTTATACAACTGTTATTAACTTATTATTACCATTACCATTATTATTTTTAATATTTTTACTTTTAGATTATTATTGTTATTAGTAGTAGTAGTAGTAGTATCATTTTCTTTAGGTGTCTCTTTCATTCTGGCTCAAGAACCTTGACATGGCACATGGATGCTATGTACCTATGACCTTTCAACATCCATATCTACATAAACCAAGCATGGTTACATATAAACTATCAGCTGCTCGTTGAGTTTGTTTCCATTAACAGAAATCAAGAGTTGCTATCTGGCAGAAAATATTGATAAAAGTAATTACTCACACCATGCATGTTATTAATATCAAAAGAAATGCAAAATCACACAGCAAAGTTGAATGCAATTATTTACAGAGACAGGGTTGAATCTATAATAAATAACTTAGCACGCTAAAGGAGAATAACAGCATTTTATTCTTACAAATTAAGCTTCTGTTGATGGGGCTAAGTGCATTTAACCCAAATTAGGTGAACCCTTTGTCCCCTAAAGAAATGACAACATGATAAGACATTGAATACTTCATGTGAAGCAAATGGCTTTAAGATCACGGTGGATTTAAACGAGAAGTGCACCAATGGTTTAGTTCTATAAAACCAAACTTTCAAACTAGAGGAAATACTACCCAATTACCATTCAGGGACTTTTTTCTTCCCATTTTGAATTCATAGCCACAAGAAAGTCTAAGGAAAAGATAAATAACCTTTTGAACTTGAAGTGCTTTTGTGTCCATTCTCTAAATTACATGAATCTGAAAGATTATCCTGTGACTCTTTCTCTTTATTTTTGAACCACTGCTGCACCTAAACCAAGTAAAACCAACACAACATTACAACAGATTCAACATAAATAACAAATGAGCCTTAAAGATGAAGGAATTTAATAACCTGTTGCCACGATAAGGGAGTTTTGGCAGCACAGTTTGATGAGGAACTACAAAGTCAAAGCAGATCAAATTACAGAATATAATGACAAACAAAACACAAAGTCCTCTTTATGGTTAACATAAGACTTAATTTCACCTAAAGTGTTTAGCAATCTCCTGGAAGAATTTGCGATCAAGTGATTTTTCTCCCATATCCTGATATAATCTTTCCAATTCCAACACCTACGAATGCAGATTGAGCAAAGTAAGAGTGCATAGTTGAGCCAATAAATGTGGAATGTTGAATTCATTGACAACGCAGGCATAAAGTGACACAGACATTCTAACGATGTGCTGTGTATTACCTCGTCTAAAGAGAGCTTAGGGAATGGAGATTCGTTTAAGCTTGACTTATCCATCGTTGTAAAGAGAAAAAATGTTTTCACGGAGAAATGAGAAAATCCCTCTTCAATTTTAGGCTTGCTCCAAACAGGCCCTCAGTAGCAAGGATGGATGTTACTGCCATATACACAGCAAAAGTAGAAGAAAAATTCAATCCCTCAAACACAAAACAACAGTTCCTCTCCTACATTCAACATAAACAATTTGTTACAGAATACAAATTATTCATTAACTTCACTAACGTGGTGCAGTGGTGTTTCTAAAGTCGAAAGTAAACGACTTAGGATTAATAAGCTTACCGGTACTGCGGGAAAACGAAACAATGTATCACGCAATTCCCCTTTGGATTTTGGAGTTTTGTAGCTTTGGCCCTGCAAACAGTGCTGTGTTTTGCGGCTGCTTCTGCGGGAAAATGCTTGTAATGGAAGGACAATCTATTTGAGTCCAAAGAGAGTGAATCCTTATTTGATTTTTGAGATTGTAAGTATTATTTGTTTTAGTTTTTAATTTAATAAAAAGTTATTTTAATTTTAAATTTTATAAAATTGTAAAATATTTAATTTTATAAAATTATTTCATACTTTATTTGTATGTATCAAAATTAATATTATATTTTTAATATAAAAATATAAATTCTTCAATTATATTTTTATAGTTTTTTAATTTTGATATAAATAATAAGGTAATATATTATTATAATTTAACTATTACATCAACAAAAATTCACGTTTAATGTAAATTTAATGTTGTTGACAGTGTAACTATCACGTGTAAATTATACTCACATTTATATTCTTTAAGAAATTTGTATTAAATAATTTAATTAAATAAATTGTGTAAAAATTTTAAATTAACTTAAAATTATTTGATATACTATTGATATGGAATAAATTAGTATAATATATTATTTTGAATTATTTAAAAATAGTATATTTTATTATACTCTTATTAAAAACAGAAATAATTGAAATAATATATAAATATAATTTAATTATTAAATCATAAAATTATATTTTATATAAAGTTATTAAAAGTATAAATTTAATTTAATCTCTTCATTGTATATTAAAATTAATATAATATATACTTTAAAATATGTAAAATAAAGATAATTTAATTATATTTTTATAAATTTTTATTTTATTTTGACAATTTTAACGTAAATAAATAAAATAATATATAATTTAACAACAGTTAGATCAATAAAAGATATATTTTATATTAAGTTATAGAGATTATAATACTAATGTTATTTAATCTATCTCCTATATATATAATGGCTGTAACAAAATAACAATATAAAAAATTATATCTCTTGGTAAAATAATATTAAAATTACTAATTTTTTATGAATTACTTAAGTATCATTAAATTAAAATAATTTTGTTTACTATCAATAACATAAACTAACTAGTAGGAATTGTTGCAATTTTTATGCACAAATTATTTATAGAAACAGATAATTTAAAATAAATATAAATATAAAACATTAAAAAAATATTGAAATATAATAGATAAGAAAATAATATAATAATTAAAAATTTTGTAAAAAAGGAAGAAATAATATCACAAAAATTTAAAATAATAGTAATCGCATATTATCATAGCTAAGATAAGAATAATAATAATAACAACACTTTAATATCTCATTTTATTTTCTAATTTTTTATAAAATTTAGTAAAATATTAAAAAAAACACAAATTTTTATTTTAAAATAAATTTTATATTTTTTTATTATATATTATACAATAAATATTGAATGGATAAAATTGATAATAAATAAAATTTGCACTAATTATATAAATAATTTAGTTTTATTTACCATAATTTCAATACACTATTTAGTAATTAGATACTAATCAATCAGTATTTATGTATTTATGCAGGTGTAGATGATTAAATTGATACCATTTAAATATATTTAAAAAATAGTATTAAAATTTTGTTGAAAAACTAAATTATTTTTTAATAAATACAAAATTTACGTAACAGCAAAATTTTCTTTATAGACTTTTAGTGTAAAATAATCTATAACAAATTTAATTTAAAAATAATTTAAAATATTTATGTTTTGGACAAAAAAAAATATTAATTCCTTAAAAAATTTAATTATAAATATTTTTTTGTTTTCAAGTAAAAAAAAAATATTAATTAAATATGTAGGTCTATAAAACGAATTACATTTATACAACTAGATCTGAAAAATATTTTACATAAAATAATTTCTAAATAAAGTTTTCTATTATTTTGAATTCATCTTTATATAATAAATTTGACTCTATCTTTCATCTCTCAGTAGACAATAAAACTCGACATTATATCTGGTATCAATTAACAGAAAAATTGATTGGAAATGGCACTGAAACACTCTCAGAACTCATCAGAAAACTTTTCTTTTTCAAAAATAATTCGAGAAAAGTATTCACAATGGATAACAAACTGTGTCATATCTTCCTAATCTGTTTTTAGTAAAAGTGGCACAAATCTAAATCATGCATTTTAACTCAATCATCACTATTCACTACGTTTGTTCAAGATATCAATCCCCTTTAAGCACCAGCAAACAGGTGAAATGTGCATCAGCAACACCATAATGCCACTAAACACCCCAAAATTTAGGCCTTCAGCACATAGACATCTCATATTTCAACTTTAGGAATTAAGCACCAGCAAACAACTTCCACTTGTGTGCTGCTAAGCTTACCAACAGTGTAAATTCCTTTTGTAATTGTGAGACTCTGGTTTTTAAAAAACATTTTCTGTTTTCATTTTCTACTTTTACTTTAATTATAAAACTATTACCTTATTTTCATTTTGCTTCTTATTTTCAAATATTTATACATGAAATAGTAAAAATAGACAACTTTTTGTTTTCATTGCTTCCTATACAAATCTTAGAATTCAGAAAATAAGATAATAATTTTGTAGGAAACGAAAATAGAAAATGTTTTTTGAAACCAAATAGCCCTTAAACTTTTTCGAGACTCATAATAAACAAGTAACTAGTAAGCACTAGCTAAGAAAATATTTATTTTTATTTTAAAAAACCCAGCTTCATCTACAAATGGAAAAGACCGTAACAGCATACACGGCACAACTCTTCAAATCATTTTTTTTATAAATAATAATAATACCATTGACTAAAGTTATGCACAAAAATGTGTATTATGTCTACAATGTTATTATGCACCAACAGGTATCAGTTTATCTCTGGAGCAATTTCACTAGCATCTATGTCTACAATGTTCTCTTTCCCAAATAGAGTGAAATGCACAGTTGCCTGCATGAAGAAGGTTACTTGAGTCAAAACAAAGAAGAGAGAAAAAAAAAATCCACATAATTACTTGATCCACTAATTCACACATTATTTACAGCTTTCACAGGCTTTTTAATTTCATATTGGGATTCCAGCAATTATCATCACATAAACTTGTGTGTATGCGTGTGTGTTTCTTGAACAGAAATATTTATGTCAATTTATTCTTATTAAGGAATCAGCTCACCATTTTGGTTTTGCGATTCAGCTTCTTGAGGGTGCCTGTAAATCCTGAAAATGTTCCGGATACAACTTGAACAGTGGAACCTTGAACAAGTTTATAATTTTTTCGAGTAGATGAAGCATCTGTAACTGTAAGCTGGTTAGTTTTCCTAGAACCCCTTTTAGGCTTAGAATCAACAATAGTATTTGAAACATCAGCTGGTTCAAAATCTGTACTTGGAATTCCAGAGTTTAGAACAGCATTTTTCTCTTCTTCCTCAAAAGCTTGGTCAGTTTTTTCTTGTTCTTCTTTTGCCTGTCTGAAGATTGCTTCCATATCTTCATCAGATACTGGCCTTGGTTTATTAATCTGTCTCTTTCTGCAAATGTGGAAACAATTCGGTGTTTTCAATCAGGCTAAATGGGGAAAAATATGCATTGGAGATTACTTCTGATTTTAATACCTGAAATCAATAGTTAACAAGTATATGAAAACTAAAACGACACCACCCATTTAAAATTTAAGAAAATAAGATTGGAAAATAATAACTCAAGTCATCATAACTTAAATGTTTTATATACTCCACAATCATCAATTAAAAAATACTAATTAAAATTTCCATTATGCAGAAAGTACAACTTTGAAAAATTATACCTCGATCATTGATTAATTTACGAGGTAAACCAACAAGATAGAATTTCATTCAGATAATTGATTGTCTGAAATTGCTTTCCAGATTATGGTCAGATCTCTTCACCATAACTAATCAATTAAAGACATATATTCAACTTCTCAACTATATTTATGGAGTAAATCGTCACTTTGATTCTTAGACTATAAGGGTCATTCACTTTAGTCCTTGTGATAACCAAAACCAAACATTAGTCCTTGAGATTGTAAGAATTTGAGTCGTGATTAGGGACAAAATGAAGTAAATCCTTTACCCTTAAGAAAATGGCATCATTTCAGATCCAACGCGAACACTTGCTTGCCACTTAATCTCAATGTGACATTTCAGCAATTCATTAATGGTTTTCAATGTCCCCTGACACGAGGACTAAAATGATTGAAATCTTACAATCTTAGAGACTAAAGTTTTACAATCTAGGGACCAAGATAAGGGATCATCCCCTTCAAGCATATTGATTTGCACAAGAACTAACTAACTAACCATAAAAAATTTACAATAAATAGGCAACAAAATTGTAAATGTGCATAAGACATAACTGCCAATAATTAGACAGTGGTTTAAACTCAAACAGCAGATGCTTACGTGTTCCCAACCTTGGAACCAAGGAAGCCTCCAACACCATCATACTCTCTTATGAAGTCATGCAGTTCTTTGTTCAACACACATCTCAAAAAAATACAACCCGGGAATAGAGGTTTTGGTTTAATGGAGTGCGAACCATCTTTCAGTTTCCGCTTCACATTCACAGCTGGAGCAAAAACCTAAATCCAAACACTAACACATCAAAACAAATTAACATTACATGAAAAGCACTGAAACCATATTAAGGAGCTGATATTTTTGAAGAAATATTTTCTTTTTTTTTTTTCTCAACAAGTCTGAAAAAGCAATTATTGAAAAAAAAGGTCAAATTAAACACACACAGCAACTTTATGGCTTTTGTTTTTAAATACTTACTTAACCATTATAATTTTTTTAAAACATATTTCAAAACTGAAACGAACAAGCCTAAATCATCCTTATCCATCTAAAAGGTTGTCGAATTCACAGCAAATCTGAGAGAACCCAAAAAAGATGAAAAAACATCAACCTTAAACTCGATATCGGGGTAGTGGTTAGCGAGTGAGCGAGCGAGTAGTTGAGCAGTGTCGTGTCCATTAGCCCGTGAAACGCGAACGACCCACCATTGAGGACCCAACTTGGCGAGGTTGTCGAGGTTGAGTTCATCCATCCATGAAACTTTCTCCTTCTTGGGTTTCTTTATGAGCCTCTCTTCAACCTGTTCTCTCCAATTTGTGCTCTCTCTTCTCTCGCTCCTCTGCTTCCTTCTCTCTCTGGCGCTTAGTTGTTGGGTATCAGCAGAAGCAGAAACTGAGAGCGTGAAGGGTGTGGTTCGGTGGAGAGATAATGAGAGAGAGGGGAGAGAGAGTGTGTGGAAGCGCGGTTGATTCCATACAAGAAGCACACCTCTCATCTTCTTCTACCAATTAGAACGAGGATACTCATCTCATTCCTCTTCCTTCTTTGTTTTGTTCTTTTAAAAACCTCGCCCCCACCCCACCTGGGTAATTCTTTCTTATCATAGTATATTCTTTTGCTTTTATTATTAATTAAAAATCAATAAATATTTTTTATTAAAAATTATAGTCAAAAATATATTAATTATATTAAATGATTTTTTTCTAATAAATTTTTTTATTTTTAAATTCTTAACTAATTTTCCTAAAAATAATTATAATTATATTTTTAAAAGGTTTTTGATGAAACAATTATCATTAAATATAAAAAAAATTATGAATAAATGATGTATTATAAAAGTACATATGATGAAGGGTATTGGACACTGCAACGTAAGAAATAATAACATATGAAAATTGAATAAAAATAAAATTGAGTCAGATGAGTTTTTATTTTATTTTATTTTATATAATAAATTTTTTAATTTAAAATTTTTTATAATAAAATTATATTAAATAAAAATATGATAAATTCATAAAAATACATATGAAATAAAAATATTATTTTATTCACTTATTCGATTTTTTAAATAATATATAACTTCGGTTTTAATATGTCAGCCATTGAGAAATCATGGTCGTGAAATATTAAATATATCTTCACTAAATTTTAACAAATGTATACTTAAATTATTATTGTTGTTATTGTAGTAAAAGATTTTACAATAATATTTATGAAGTTATTAATTCACAGTCTGCTGATTTAGTCACAATTAATAAATATTATTGAAATATATTTTAATATTATACATTTTTAAAATATTTTTTTATCCCATGTATTAATAATATGACATATTTGAACATGTCAAGCTACATCTCATCTAAGAATAATCATTCATATGACAAACTTAAAAGCATATTATGTTATTTTTAAATTTATTAAATTGTAAAAATTATGCAATATATATATTTTTTATAATTAAAAAACTACTTTATTTTTATAATGTCCACCTAGTACTTAAAAAAGATTACGAATGTAGAAATTTAAACTTATATATTATAAATTCTTACATATCGGAATAAAAATTATGTTCAGATTTTTTTTTATAAAAAATTGTTCTATAATTATCTATGATAAAATAAAATATTAGTATTTTATTTTTTTCATTAATTTTTTCATTTTGACAACAAATTTAAAAATATTAATACATTAATAATAACTTCAATACTAAGCTAATATCTAAAAAAATGACAATCAAAATAATTTTTTATATATAACTATAGAATAATATTTATGATAAATTATACATATATATAATTTTTATTGTAATTTCTAAGAGTTTATTATAATGGATAAGTTATATATTAAAGGCTTTATATTAGTGTACCTTTTCTCATACTATATAGATATTACTAATATAAAATAGATTAATAAAAAATTACATAAATCTGATAAATTAAAAAAAAATTATCATTAATAATAATAATTTCTTATATAAAAATAAATAAAAAATTATAATTTCATATTAAAAAAAACTATTGATTTTAACTGAAATTAAAAAACTAATAAAATTTTCATACGGTTACTTTAAAAAGTAAATTATTTATTAATTTAAATAAAAAACATATTTTTTACTCAAAAATAAGTAACTTGTCAGTTATATAAAAGAACGAATTCATTTTCAAGAGTAAATACTTACAAATATAAAATAAAAATATATTAAGATTTAAATATTTTATTGATTAATTTTAATTTTTACATTAATTTTAAGTTAACTTCTATGTAAAAAGAAGAAGATAATGATTCTACTTTAATATGTAAAACACAAATTTTATCTACCTTTTTGTGTATTGTTTCTATGATTCATTATTTCTATAACTTTTTGTTCTCTATCCTCAATATTAAACTAAATAAGAATTCATAATTTATCATCTTCATTAAACCCTTCATAATCCCAACTCTTAGCCCTTGTCAATTAAATAAATTAGCTGTCGTCAATAATTCTTTCCTCTACCTCTGCAGTTCCATCTCTCTCACTATTAATAAGCTATAATGTTTTAACTCTAAAACTATTTGAAACTCACTTTTAACTAATGTTAAATAAAGTTTTATCCAAAGAATGGAGAATGGTATGCTTTCATCCACCACAAACTATTCTTTACCCATCATAGTTAAGTAAAATTGTGAATTATATATGTTTTAACTCTTCCTTGCAAACTCAATCCTTAAATTACCAGAAAACTAGACTTAAACTCAATAAATTGGCCTAACCAACATAAACCCAAAATTAAAATTAAGTCAAACTTAAAGCTTTACATATTTACTCTTCCTTTATTTGCTTTCACCATTGTCACTTCTACATGTTCCTCCCCCTCCAACTCTAAATTAACATATCTCTACCTAACCTCTATTACTATTTATTCTCCCGCAACTATTTGTTCATCTTTGCGTTAAACTTGAAGTTTATTATATAATTAACGTTGTAAAGCAACCTTACTTTCATTGATCGATCAACATGGTCCAACTCTATAGTTTTGATGAATAACAAGACCAAGAGACTATGATGAAAAATTTAGATATTAATGATTTACCTTATATACAATGTTATAAAGATAAATTAAAATTTCTTAAGTTGTCTCGAAACATCAATAGAAAGTTTTGTTTGATTATCCAGTGGTCTTATAAGATTTCTTTTCTTTCTACATTATCCTATGATCCATGAAGACAAATGAATAAGTTATATGGTTGAGTCACCTAAGACAAAATGTTCTTCAAACAAACATTGATAAAACAATTTTGATCATTACATTGATATAAAATTACAAAGTTGAAAAAAGGCAAATATATAGAAAGTTCAATTATGTTATGTACCATGAATATAGAAAGTCCAATTACGACTAAAAGCATATCCTTGATTAAATAAAGGCAAATTTGTATAGTTTGATATTAATGAAGCTCCAACTTTCAAACTGAAAAGAAGTACATTAGACTAGAGGTCTATATGGTTTCCTATGATGAGAAAGTATAAATAAGGGTGGATTTTAACATCTTTCTATCACTTCAAAAAAACATCGAGAGAATGTGATTTGTAAAAGTTTGGTTCCTTTTTCAAAATTATGGGATGGATTATGAATTATTGATTGAGGGATATTTTAATTATATGGTTAGTATTGTGGCATAAGAAAATTGAAAATACAAGTAAACTTTGGTGAAGGATAGTTCTATAATTTTCTAAAGCTTAATGGCTTGTTTGTATGTAAGTTGTCCAGGTAATCGTGGTGTCTTTTTGTTTATTATTTTTATAAAAAAAATATTTGTTGAATGTGTTTTGTGTCTAATGCAGCTCACACATTATTAAATTTATACTAATTTGTAGAATTAAATATAATTAATTTTTACCTAATAATCAGGAATCAATAATTTTAATTTTTTAAAATATGTGACTATTAATTTCTTACAAATCTGTAATGGCTAATGACTTAATTATATTCTAACAATTTTGTTAAAAACCCTTGACATTCGTAAGTGTTGGAGAGCATAGTAACAGATAAGAGAAGTAGGAAAATGGAAGGTAATGGTTTATTTTGCATGTCAAGCAAAACAATGTGTTAAAAGATTGTGACCCCAATAAAGCAATGTTTTGTTTGTTTAGAGTCCAATTTATATATTGACTTGAATATTGGTTATGTTTTATTATTTGACTTTGTTATTGTAGTGCCAAGTGGGTTGTTTTCTTTCTCCGTACCAAATACAGAAACCGAATGTGTTCAAGAACTTTGTGGAAAGGTAGGTGGTTAATCTATGTTATCTTTGCATTGATTTTGGGAAAAATAGGTGGGATGATGAGATATTTTATTTGTTGAGTTGATTTAGTTAAGGGGAGTGAGAAATAATAAATTTTTTGTACATAAATCTTCTAGCACAATGCATGCAAAGGTTGTGTATTGAGGTATTTTATTTTGAGTTTTATTATGATAATTTTTTACAAAATATATATGATATGTTGTACAACAATGACATTTGTTATAGACTTTGATAAATGATTTGTTTATTTTGCAACCAATAACATGAGTCTTTTTTATTGTTGGTTTATTGAATGAGGTTTGTGTTTTATGCTTTTTTTTTTCTTTTATTGAATATGTTATCATGTAAAGCAATGAAAGCTTTGTTTGTAGAATAAACATTGCTTATTTTTTTTTGTGGTACAAAAATTTAAAAGACTATAAATGAAGACATTTGGCTTGATGATTTATGGACTGAGGGTTTGATTATTTATTTATTATCAGTTATAAAAAAAAAAATTATTGTGCATGGTTTGGCGTTACATGTAAAACAAATATTTACCCTTTGTGATCGTATGCTTAGGGTTTTAAATTCGATTGAACTAATTTGAATGTTTCATACATATTTCTGGTTTGCAATTTTTTATTTGCGTTATGGTAATTATATATGTGATAACAATTTTATATATAGGATTTGATCTCCAATTCATGTGTAGAGGAGGTATTGTATATGGCATGATATTTTATGGTATGTTAATATGGTGTTACAGTTTATCATCAAACATTAATATAGCATATGAAAGTGATGAGATTTTTTTTGGTATGTGTATGTTTTATAAAAGGAGTAAATGACATATGTTTCATTAGTTAGTCCAAATAATTGTTGTAGATTAGATACGATATATCGTGAAGGTACGTTAAAACCAAACTCAAGGTCATTTTATTTGTCGTTTTATCTAGAAGAGGTTAGTCCCTTTACTAATATTATTTTCTACATTTTTATTTATAAGTAGAATTGAAGGTTTTGAAGTTTGACTTGTTTGTATTGTAAAATTTGGTTATAGCATCTTCTAGAAATTTCATAAGTTTTCTCTAGATCATTCTTTCATTTCATTCCTGAAATTATTTCATTGCAAGACTCAATTGGTAGTGAAATTAGAGTAGATGTTATGAAAGCCGAAACAAAACTATTTCTTAGACATATATGAGAAAGATTGGGTTTAGTTTATTATTTGAATGATAAGGGGTGATTGAATTTTTTTTTAATAAAGGAGAAGACTTTTTCAACATTAGTGTATGATACCTTCCTTAATCAAATAGAGTACCT